TTCCCAGTCAGTCTCACAATCCCTCACTCCCTTCCCCATTCAACAGCAACCATTTACCTGCCAGCTGGCCTTGGACAGCAAGTTTCCCCAGTGACTTTCTCAATGCTAGCTTTCCACAAGTTAAGTAAGTGGGGGTGAATGGCTGGAAAGAAGGAAGGAAGGAAGGAAGGAAGGAAGGAAGGAAGGAAGGAAGGAAGGAAGGAAGGAAGGAAGGAAGGAAGGAAGGAAGGAAGGAAGGAAGGAAAAGACTCCTGAAAGCACAGAGAAAAATGCATTTTTCAAAAACCAACCAACCAAACAAGCCAGTGGCTCATTGTAAGATGCTCAATCATCTCCCATATAAGAGCTATCTGATATGCTAACTAAACAGTCCCACACTAGAAGACCCGGGGAATATTCAGATATTTAAATAGCCTGAAATAACTCTCTTTAATTTTAGTGAGATTAGTATCTTTAGGCTTCTATTATGTATTGTTCCAAAATAAATCTTTAAAGACCCCAGAAAGAAAGTGAAAATTTTCCTGAGAATCATTTGCATGACTATTACAATAATTTCATCCATCTGGTGTTTTCAGTTTGGATCAAACAATTAAGTCAGTCAATGGTGTCTCTTTCATAATTACAGACATTTATTTTTCTTAAGCCAATTCTTCATTGTATCTTTCCCCATTCAGAGACCCTCCTGATGCGTTGAGACTTTAAAGCCAGAATTTCCAGCCAATCTTACTTGTTAATCATCACTTGACTGCATCTGCAACTCTTCCCCTGGTCATTGTTATTTATTCATAGACATTTCTCTTTGAACAAAACCTGAGAGCTATGAACTGGAAATTTATATGCACTGAATGAAAGATAAATGAAAAAGATATTCTGTTTCATAATTCTTAATTAACCTATAGAGTTTATTGTTGCTGGCTGCCAGAATGACTACCAAGATGATGTTAAATAAATATTAGATAAACTCTTTTGGAGATGACCTACCAGTAGTTACATTGTCCATGTAAGATGGTAGAAAATAAGTATTTATTAACATTGTATCTTAAGATTAATAACAATTTGTGAAGGCCCCTGTTCCATATACTTTATTGTACCCTACCAAGAGTACGTGAGAGAGTTGGGCAATTGTTAAATAAGATAGATAGATAGATAGATAGATAGATAGATAGATAGATAGATAGATAGGAGAGAGAGAAAGAGAGAAAGAGAGAAAGAGAGAGAGAGAGAGAGAGAGAGAGAGAGAGAGAGAGAGAAATTATGGTTGAATTATCTGAAGAACACAAAATAAAGATGGGTCAATGGCCTTCATCTAAACCAGCGGTTCTCAACCTATGGGTCGCGACCCCATTTGCGGTCGATTGACCATTTCATGGGGGTTGCTAAGCAAGGCTGTCCACCATTTTCCCCCCCTTTTCCGGCAGGTGCCTTACCTCCCTTGGGCTAGGCCAGCTGGTGGCCCAGCCGGTGGTCAGCCTGCTTGGTCTCTGCCGCTTGGCAGCTACGCCTCGGCCAGAGCAGGGGGCAGCACCACGCATGCGCGGCACTTCCGGGCAGGGAAAGTCCTCGACTTACAACCGGTTGAGTAGTCCTCGACTTACAACCGGTTTAGTCCTCGACTTACGACCGGTTGAGGGTCGCGGCATTAAAAAGGTTGAGAACCACTGATCTAAACCTTCTGAATAATGACATTTTTAGCATTGTTTTATATAATTGATATCAACTCTTTCTTAAGTCACATGTAACATCACTTGTGGGCTGCAGTACATTTCATGATGTAGATAAATAAAATGCTATACAATATTTCTTGTTGTGAATATCAATAAATAATGGACAGCTCAGGTTCTCCAAGTCACCCTATCTTTCCTCTGTATACTACTCCTTTGGAACATTTTTATCTCCTTTTCATACTTGTTACCATAAGAAACAAATTGCCATAAAGTTAAAAAAAACTTTGTTAGCTAATTATTAAATTTTCCTGTTTAAAGACATAACCAGTAATCACGTTCCTGATTTATTTGAAAAGTTGGCCTAAGAAAAGATACCACATGTTATTGTTAAAATACACATCAATAGTGCTAATGAAATTATTAATATAAAAATGACTTTAATCAATGTACTTCAATTCGCTTTTATGAATATGTTTTAAATATTTCTCCAAACATATGTACCTTATGTTTTTTGGTCTGTGTTATTGCCATTTTTTTAGCCTTTGTAAGAGTTTCTTTTACTATTAGGCATCCTCATAGTGCTTTCATTACCAACTCATAGCAACAGAAATGTAGAAAGCTGTCTAAATCTGGTCTATATTAAGTCTGTTATAGCTATACTTATTATTTCATTCGTACACAGAGCTTTGTTTGTAATTTTCCTTTTAAAAGATTATATATATATATAGTCTGATTACTAAGAATAGCCCCTCATATCTATAAATTGCCAAATGCACTTTCTTTTTGGAACACATAATCCCTAGATGTACATTTTTTCCTTTGAATTATTGAACATAATATAACAGACTTTAGTGGATAATCCTCATTTATATGTTGCTGGAGTCACTCCAACAATGAGAAGGACAACATATAAATATGATAAATAAAATAAAATTTCATGCCTTAATGGAGCCCAGTTTGAAAGAGAAAATACTTTATGGCCCACTGAAATCTGTTGAAGATTTGTTGAAGATAGTAACAAACACCTTAATAAATATAATCCATGTAGGCAAGTCCATATAAAGGTCTATATTAAAGGCATTCTTTAATATATACTTTTATATTCTGGAATTCTTTGTACCTGTTTTCTTAGAGAGCACTATAGGCATTGGAGATGCAGAAAAAAAAAAATAAGGGATCTCATTTCCCCCCCCCCCCCTTTCTTAAGCTCTATTCTGTTTTCCCTTGATTGGAAGAATCTTAGTCCAGTTCTTTTCAGCTTGTTTCCTTTTTAATAAATAAATAAATAAATAAATAAACACTTTATTAGGTTTCAATAAATAAAATATAAAGAAACACACACACCCCAAAAAAGAGAAAAGAGGATAGATAAAAGTCAAATTCAATTCTGCGGTAAGGTGGGTAGCCAATTAAATCAATCAATCAATGTATGAAAAAAGAATAGAAAAAGAATTACTTCCAGCTTTCTTCTGTGCAGATAAAATATGAAATACATTAACCTGTTACTTTAAGATTAATAATAATATATGGTATTACTATAATAATAAAAATAAAAAGTTCAAATCTTTTTATCCCTTCGGCTTATTTCCAATAGAAAGAATGCTTTCCAATTCTGCATTCTCCTCTTCTTCTTCTTCTTCTTCTTCTTCTTCTTCTTCTTCTTCTTCTTCTTCTTCTTCTTCTTCTTCTTCTTCTTCTTCTTCTTCTTCTTCTTCTTCTTCTTCTTCTTCTTCTTCTTCTTCTTCTTCTTCTTCTTCTTCTTTCTTCTTCTTCTTCTTCTTCTTCTTCTTCTTCTTCTTCTTCTTCTTCTTCTTCTTCTTCTTCTTCTTCTTCTTCTTCTTCTTCTTCTTCTTCTTTCAGGTTCTTACATTCCTTTTTCTACGCCATTTCCAGTTCATTTTGAGCCACCTCAGAGACGAGGAAATCAGTTCCTCAAGAAATTAGAATTATACTTCATTGAGAATGGCTACAATAATAGAGTCTTCAAGTCTGATTGTATGTATCTTACCACTTTCTTATATCCAGAGAATCAAAGAGATGTCTGTATGAGCCACTTCTAAATATTATCTTTCCCCCATAGTTTAAAGAATGCTTCAATCCCCTATGCTTAGGTAATGGTTCCTGCGTATTTCCATCCAAGCCATCCTCTTTACATCCTGTCAGAAGATGCATACAGTAATTAATGCAAGCTAAGATTAAATAAATAAGTAACAAAATATAAATCATGAACTCCCAATTTTGTTGTAACACATGTTCAGAGGTTAATTGGTGGCTGTCTTCCCTCCTGGGAAATACTGAGAGATAGGATAGGATAGCAGGTGATCTACCATTCCATTGAAATTACTCCATATTAAATTGTATGAGAGCAGCAACACTGCCTAGTTTTGCTGTTAAGCTGTGGTGAAGATGAGGGAAGCAATTTGTGACTAATAAATCATACTTGCCCTCATTCAAGAAAAAGAGGAAAACACAAAAAAATGTCTGTAGAGATTCTCGGACATTAAGGTCATAGTTGTCTGCCAGAACTGCTTCTTGGGTGAGAAGCAAAATGACTTCTTCTTTCTCAAGGGAAAAAACAAAAACAAAACTGTCCAGTTGCCTTTTGAAGAAGCATCTTTGAGAGACAGGGATTGGGATTGTTGTATACCTCCCAGAGTCACTTTCCGGAAGATGGGAGGTGATGTAAAATTGATTAATAAATACTAAGTAAATCTAGATTTTTTTAAAAAAATGTGAATATCACACTGATGGCAAATACTTATTGTCATGACCATGTTTTTTTTCCTCTCCACTTGTAACATATGTTGTGAAAACTGAAGCCATCAGAAAGGCTTGGAAAATAAAAACAATGTCTTTGAAATTGTTGTGGAAGAAAACTGTTGAGAATTCCTTTGACTACAAGAACAAATCATTCAGTGCTAGCTGATTTAAAACTAGACTGCTCTCTAGAAGTGTATAACAATGAAGCTAATGCTTAGATATTTTGGAAAGCATAGTGCAAAAATTAGAATCATTGGAGAAGACCCTAATGTTTGGAAAAAACTGAAGGCAGTTGAGACCAACACTTAATAGATTTTATCATTGGTAGTGGAAGAGGTATAAATGTATGAGAACTCATAAAAATGCTTCTAGTTTTGATAAAAAAAATGTACATTTGTTTACAAAGAGTTAGAAGCAACTAAACAATGAAACAACATCTAAATAAAATGAGCTCCATTAAAAAAAGTCTGAACACAAATTTGTAAGGACAGAAAAGACAAATAAGGTTTATTAAGGAAGATACAGGTTACAATGGTAAATGCATTGCATCTACAGTATACATATTTTTGTACCAACCTTTTAATGGATCTGTAAAAGTCAGAAATATTAACAGAATTCCTCTTAGCGATGAATCTGTCTTCTTTGGGTCTGCCTTCTGTTCTGTTCCTGCATGAATCAAGTCATTAAAACTGTGCAGGGATTTGGATTTGAATGATGAAATATGACTTGGAGCATGTTAGTTCATATAGCACTGTCAGAAACACCTTCTACTAAACATGTATCTTTCCTGGAAATAAATGCCGGAAAACAACCGTACAAATCCAGAAAAAGGATAGCTGCTCTAAGACATTTCTAACAACTGCTACATGCATGGCAACACAGACTTCAAATTATCCTTTACCCTCCAAATCTGGATTTGTCTAGTGATGTTGGTTTCCACAAACATAATTTAGTGCATTTTCACTCTACTTTATTATTAATATACCATCTATCTTGGTCATAATGGTATTTACCTATTTTCTGTCCAGCATTAACAATAACTCTACAGGGAGTTTACCTACTTTTGAGTTTTCCTATGTTGGATTTAAATTGCATGACAAATGCTCAGTGATGCTTTCACTGTCAAGTATAAAAAAAACCCTATCCATTGATTTGGGGACCTTTAGGGCCTGAATCTGTTTGATTTGTGCATAATTACTCTAATCCATCCTGAGTTCTTTCAATAGGCATGCTTTGAGTGGAGAATTCAAAGCAACAAGCTCCTTTTCATGTTTTTAATTTAAGAAAAGTAAAGGCCAATTGCCATTAATTTCTCGTATACCCTACTTCTGTATATGTGAGCATAGATTTATGTATTTATTTCAATTTAGCCATTATAATGCTGTGTCTTTCTTTTGCTTAAACTCAGTGTCTTACTCCAGTATTTCATTTATTAGACACTCTAATCCTGGCAGAATAATCTTAGCAATACAATTATCATTTTTAACATTTTAATATACTACAAAAGTATAGCCTATATTGGAAGATGGCATCCAATAAACCTGTAGTACTGTGGCCTTCATCATTCCAAAAATACTATTCAAAAGTTGTCTACCTGTTTGGTTGTGTATCTTGATTTGAGATACCTAGATATTGCTTCAGTCTGGGATAGGGGAGCATTGAGGTAAAATGCTAGTTCATAGGCAGGGTTTATGAGTCAATCAAACAGTGAAATCAATCAGTAGTAAACTTAAAAAGTGTTGTTTTAAACCCATCATGTTCCCATTTTAATTTGGATTTGGATTAAAATATCCTACAATTATAAGTAATGTAGCACAAGTAGGAAACAAAACAGTCAACTATTTAGAATAAATAATATGGAGCCTCAAAACATATGTAGTTAGCCTGTACTTTTTTTGGTGTGTTATAGCTATCATGCTCTTAATGCTTTCATTTAAATGAAATGTTATTCTAAAGAGAATCATGAAGAATTCAGTAGGCCTCTCTCTGTGCTTTTTAAGCCTAACATACCTCCTATCTAGAAGATTGATATTGTCGCAACAATCCTAGAAGCAAATTAAATTTGCAAAAATGTGCTTTGGAGTTTACCTTTGGAGCCTCAAGATGTAGCCATTGGCAGGCAAAATATAACTTGACTTGCTGCTGAAATCATCTCTTTGTGTCTTGCCAAATAGAAATGACTTTAATATTTTAATCAGCAACTAAGAAGAAGCAAATATGAAGTTCTGGGAAAATCAGTATTATGGTGTGAGATAAATTATGCAAAAGCCCTGGCTACCTTTTTCTTTATTGGCTACAAAAGCTTTTAGGCCTTGTTTTGGGGAACAGTTGGTGGTTTTACCTTCAGGCAAATTATTAAAAAAAAAGATTTCAGATTCTCTGTAAATACTGCCCTTCAATCTTTTTAGTTTACAGTACCTGCATGTATGGTCAGGACTACCTACTTTACCTTATAGTTCTTCTACCTTCTCTCCTCCAGACTGCCAAGAGAATAGTAAAGTTAACAAAAAGAAGGTGGTGATTCTGTCCTTTCCATTGAAGTATATACCTTCCTGAAAAGATATCTCTGAGAATCTGGCGATATAAATCTGTAGGCATATGAGCACAAATCCTAGAAATAATTTCAATAAATGGACAGGTGACCTCTTAAGGTTTTAAGCGTATAGCTAGAACTCTGAAGCAAACTGGTAATCAGTGTATTTGATACAAAAGAGGGTTATATTTTTTTTGGACATACCATTTGGAAGCTCTGCTTGCTCTACCAGGTTTTTCAAGCTAGGTTTTAAGACAGTCTATTTTTAAACATATTAAATTATTGCAATTCAGTTTAGAGAAAAGTTTCCAAATAGTTCAGTATCAGTAGATCCAAACAGGACTGAAATCCAATTTCAGTAGTTCCAGATAGGTCTGTAAATGCTATATAAATGTTAGAAATGTTTTTTGTCACTTCTGCCTCTTGGATTTTATTGACTAGTATCAGCCTGCTAATAATCAATATTTATTAGAATAGAATAGAACTGGAAGGGACCTTGGAGGTCTTCTAGTCTAGCCCCCTGCTTAAGCAGGAGAACCTATACCATCTCATAGAAGTGACTGTCTAGCCTCTTCTTAAAAATCTCCAGTGATGGAGCACCCACGATTTCTGGAGGCAAGCTGTTCCACTGGTTAATTGTCCTCACTGTCAGGCAGTTTCTCCTTAATTCCAGGTTGCTTCTCTCTTTGATCAGTTTCCAACCATTGTTTCTCATCCTTCCCTTTGGTGCTTTGGTGAATAACGTGAACCCCTCTTCTTTGTGGCAGCCCCTCAATTGTTTTTAGATAAAACTCCTATTAAATTGGTAAAATGACTTTGATTAATTTCTGAAATTTGCAAACATATTTTTACTTACAAAGATGTATGGATAAAAAATACACACAAATCCAAATCCTGCTGTGTGGTGCCTCATTGCGATGGTGGACAGGTGTTCCTGGAAAGGATGAACAAAACACAGGGCTTTTTTTTTGTCATAGAACGCCCAGAACGGAGTTCTGGCACTTTTTTTGTAGGGTAGGCAAGGCGGGTTGTATGACGTGTGTGAGTTCCGGCACCTTTTTTTTTTTAAGCATTGACAAAACATATCAGGAATGTATGCCAATGTATGCCAATAATATATATTTCCTTTGCACCAATGCCTATCTATAAGAGAGCTTTTAGCTTTGTCTGGGCTTAAAGCTAAGTGGTATGATGTCTGAGACTTCCAAGGAAAGCCAGCACTGTAGACTAGGGAAAATTAAAACAAAACCATTCTGGAAGAAAACTATTTCTCTGTCACTGCCAAGAAGATGACTTGGATGGATCTATGAAGTCAGCAGTAGTTGAGTTTGTCTCAAATGAGGCGTTAAGCCTGTAAGATAGTTAAAAAGAAACAGGAACAAGTTTTAAACAGGAGGCATGAGGGTATATAGATTAGAAAGGGTAGAGAAGAGAGAAAAGTTTCCATATGCTTCAAGACAATAAGGTCTGCAATAAATGAGAAGGCATCCTAATAGGCAAAAAAACATTTTTAGCAGAATGCTTTCAGTGAGCAAGTAACAACAGCTGGAACACACCACTATGCAGCCCTGCAGCATGTAGAATAAATATCATATTTTTGATGCAAGTTGACTCTCAAGGAGAGATTCTCACTCCTCTAAGCTGAGTCCCAAATTCCCAGACTTGATACAAGGCTCATTGTACTTACAAGCAGTGATGGGATTCAAATATGTCAACAACTGGTTCTCTGTGTAGATGCTGGGCCATTCTGGGGCCTGGGCAACAAAAAATTAGCTGCTGGTTCTGCCGAACTGGTGTGAACTGGATAAATCCCACCACTATTTATAAGTATATTAGTCTCTCTCTACAAATGTGTTCCGGAAGAGTGAATATTAATCTCCTTTGGTTCCATTGTAATATCAGCCAGAACATTTGGTATTTTTGTGACCAAGCTATAAAGCAGCATATATTTTAAGGTATTTCAGGACAGATATTTTTTTAGTTTTGTCTGAATGCCAACCTCTTTATGACCTTTGCTACAAATTAAGCCCAACTAGAGATTAAGTGATATTTATAAGTAAGCATTAGTATTAGCTGATGTTCTTTAGCAAAATGCTTCCATTAACTCACTGCCATTCTCTCTCTCTCTCTCTCTCTCTCTCTCTCTCTCTCTCTCTCTCCTCACATTAGAAGTTCCATATTAGAAGATATGATACTTCTGCAGAATGCATTAGTTAAATGGAAAAAATAAGGTATTTCCAAACTTTGATCTTGTAGAAGATTGCTAATTTGGAAAACCAGAACAAAAGTTGGCAAATAGCTTTGTCTTAGCTTTGTCTCTAGTTTCTCTTTACAGCAGACCCAAAACAGTAGAATATTGCCATCACTAAGATCTACTTAGATTCTGTGGTCTTCCACATTTTTTTAAAAAAATCTGAAGATGAGAACAACGGCAAGTGGATATTTATTTAAAAGGGATACTGCTTGTTTGCTCTTTAACTATCTTGCTTCCTGAACTATCTGAGGTATTCTTGACAATGATATTCACCTTGCAAACACTGGCTGTAGTATCAGATATAATTCAGGATTTCATCTCCTCCATGAAATGGAAACTGTAAATTTGTCCCACTTGAGATTAGATGCCACAGTTCAGCACAGTAGTGTTGTCCACAAGGTCTTAGGCTTTTGTCAGAACAATGAATGTTTCATCTTCCACTCTTTTTAGGTGTAGCTGAAACATCATGAACCCCATAGAAAAAGGAGGGCGTTTGCAACACATTGCCATGACCAAATGGAACAATGTTATTTCTACAGCAGACCAGCAAAAAGGAATATTTCCACCTCTCTTATAGCATGCTTTTGAGTACAGGTAGTCCTTGACTTAATAATGATGATGATGATGGTGATGATGATGATAGTTGGAAGGGACCTTGGAGGTCATCTAGTCCAACCCCCTGCTCAGGGAGGAAACCCTATAGCATTTTGGACAAATGGCTGTCCATTCTCTTCTTAAAAGCTTCCAGTGTTGGAGCATTCACAGCTTCTGGAGGCAGGTTGTTCCACTGGTTAATTGTTCTAACTGTCAGGAAGTTTCTCCTTAGTTCTAGGTTGCTTCTCTCCTTGATTAGTTTCCATCCATTTCTTCTTCTGCTGCCTTCAGGCGCTTTGGAGAATAGCTTGATTCCCTCTTCTTTGTGGCAGCCCCTGAGATATTGGAGCACTGCTATCATGTCCCCCCCTTGTCCTTCTCTTCATTAAATTAGACATACCGAATTCCAGCAACCATTCCTTACATGTTTTAGTCTCTAGTCCCCTAATCATCTTTGTTGCTCTTCTCTGTACTCTTTCTAGAGTCTTATGACCACAATTGAGCCCAAAATTCTGTTGCTAAGTGAATCACTTGTAAAGTAAGTTTTGCTCCATTTTACCTTTCTTGCCACAGTTGTTAAGTGAATCGCTTCAGGTATTAAGTTAATAACCCGGTTGTTGAGTGAAGCTGGATTCCCATTGACTTTGCTTGTCAGCAGCTTACAAAAGGTGAACACATGACCACAGGACATAAATATGAGTCAGTTGCAAAGCATCTGAATTTTGATCATGTGACTCTGGATATTCGGCAATGGTTGCAAATGTGAAAAAAATGGTTACAAGCAACTTTTTTTCAATGCCTTTTTAACTTCAAATGGTCACTAAATGAACTGTTGCATGTCAAGGACTACCTGTACTCTGCAAGGGGAAAGCATACAGAGACCAAAAAAGACGAGCAAAGAATTTCATACACGGGGTCATTATGTTGACCCGGAATTAGGAGACAGCATAGGAAGTATCAATTGTGAATATGTGCAGATGGCCCTGCTATCTTTGGGCATTTGCAGAAT